TAAGGTTTCCAGAAAAACAAGCAAAATTATAGAAGCATGAATGCGTCACTTGTAGATTACAAATAGTTATTTGACTAATCTATTACATCGGAAGCGCGTAGGGAGTTTCTCCGTGGGTCTAATTTTTGCGCCAGAACGTTTCCTTCCGATCTCTCATTATCAACTAGTTCACGACTTTACTGCCCACGCTGTTACCATGTTAGAAGGTCTCTTTCCACCCCATCTTGACCGAGTTCTCCTTTTTACAATGTTAGCTACAATGAAAAATGTTTTCATTGAGAACAATGTTTCCATTCAATTCCGAAAGAATGTCCACTGAATTAATAGGATTGAAGTACCGTAAAAAGTGACTTACAGTCAGCTTCATCTTAATCTTTCTCCTTATCTTCTGCTACGAGGGTGTTCAATGTATTCTTGGTATAGGTATGAAGGAAAAGGCAGAAAATTTTGAATAAAATTTATTTTTCAATGTAGTCCCCCATAACAACAATACTTGTTTGCTCGGGAAACTAACTTTTCAATACCCTCTAAAAATTTCCTCCTTGTCCCCAAAATGTGCGTTAATTGCCGCCTTCAGCTCTTCATCGTCAGAAAAACGCTTTCCACGAAAATCTTTTTTAGGTTGGGGAACAAGAAGTAATCACTAATCATTTCTCAATTTTCTTTTCATTTTTCTCAATTTTTTAAAATCACTAATCATTTTCTCAACATTGTCGCATCAGTCATTCTGGTCTTCTTTCACCAAGGATAGCTAGAATAGCTTTGATGAAACTGAATGAAATTTTGTATTTATACCCTCAGGGAGTGTCGTTACTACTGGACTTCTTTCGTCCCTGCGAAATTACTCCCATACCGAGAGTACTTTGAGCCCTTGTATCTGATGCAGGGTTCGCTTGCCTTGCGAGACGTTGCCACCAGCTCCTGTTCTGTCGTGACTTTACTAAGGTCCCTCATGATGACGTTCTCACCAGGTCTTTTGAGTTCTTTGTGAAGCTTCCGCTAGTGATTTCACTTGTCCCGGAAATAAATTACTCAATCCTAATAGGTCGCGCGGTTAACTTCTGTCACGGGAAAACCTATTCCAGTAAATCTTTGCGAAACGAGTTAGGCGTTTCGGAGACTGGGAGAATTTGCTTGTGGCTTTGCCATGTGCAAAACATGTGGAGATCTTATGTTGTCGCGGAATAGCGTAAGATTGATGGGCCATATCAACGGTTACGTGCCGCCATTCTTCCACCAAGATAATGTCGCCCTGCTGCTTGTTCCTTCCCCACCTCCGATTTACGTCGAACGACAATTTCGTCGTTTGTCTCTGTGACGCTAAGAATGTTGTCTATTTCTGGGCTCGAATATATTCTGGGCTGAGTGGAATTTACTGAAAGCCTTTTTGACAGCTCCTTTTTCACTCTTGGATGGGTTATTTGCATTTTTTAGCTTGGGGGTATGACAGGCTCCTGAAGGATGAAGGCTAGAACATCCGCTGCGGAAATCCTCATCTGAGATGCGCCACGCATTTGACTCATTTAAGAACCGTAGTGGACAGTTGGGGGACGGTCAGGACAATCATCATTTGCCGATGGCGGCGGTGGGGCGCGGCGTTTTCTTGATTTGTACTAGCTTGCCGACTGGAGCACCGGATTTCATGCAGACTACGGTATCATAGCCACACATGGCTTTTTTGAATATATTTTGTTTACTGTAACCACCTACGACCTATATATCGTCATTTGCTGGCGCGACGTCGCACCCGCTCTCACTAGCGCGGCGATTTACAACCGCTTTGTCCGACCCCCCCCTCCTACCGGGGTGTACTTTGCATATGCTGTTCCACAGCAAGGGCAACACCATGGCACGCGACGCCTCCCGCCGTGGCAAATTCGATTGTCTTGTCACGTACCCGGGCATGCTTAAGTGAAGCTATCATTTTTAGTTCCACAGATAATGTGTACCATATAACAGGTCAGGGAGGTGAGGGCCGAAACCGCTTAGGAACCTCGAAGGGTACCCAACTCCGACGGCCCTACTTGCCACAAGACCACCCTCAAATATTTTATGATGGCATTGCTCAGATACTGTAACCTTAAAATGATCCACGCTGAATGATGGATCGCATAGTACTGTAACCTACTTTCATCTATCTTTCAATATGTGTAGCATTTAAGAATGCCCTGGTGGCGTAAGGGATAGCGCAATGGCACGGAAAACGTCAGGTGCGGGTTGGAATTCCGCCTGGGGTCAATTCTACTGCCCGTAGCTAACTTTCTAATAATTTAAAAGTACCTTAAAATGGTCTATCTGCACGCCAACTTACCCTGCTCGACCTGCTTCGATCTTTGACAGACCCCTTCTTTAAACAGGCCATTCAGTCCACTACTTTTGTCCTAATTCATAGCCTTTTCCGAGCGGTCCTTTTTCAACGTAACATTCATACACCAAGTGTTTCTGGGGTTATCATTGATCCATTTTTACTTATTTCAGCTTGATAATATGGACGATCGATCGGTGCTCCACTATGAGTTGGGTTTCTACGAGAAAAGTGGTACAAACTGTTATCGAGGGACGCTAACGTTCGCCCTTCGTTATGATTTTATTCATCGGGTTCTTATGCTGCATGTGCTCAGAGCTAATCATCTCTCAGTTGAGGTACGTCGTAGAACCATTTCAACTCTATTTTAGACCATAATTTTATTTTTTCTCTTTCTGAGTCCTTCAAGATGTAACAAAATTTTGAGTACGAGTTTGTGAGCTCCGTCACGGCAAGTTCTGGGGTTAGGGAGAATATTGCTGCATACGAACCCTGCCCCAAATATTCTCCCCGGCACGACCACCACCATCTATCCCCGGGTCGACACCGGTCCAGCCAACAAAGCATTTTACCCTCCGGGGACGGTAAATTGGTACCAGATTCGTCTGGGAGGATAAAACACTGACTTGTACATCGGCTGGCCCCCGCAAGTCATTGTATAGGCCACATCGCATTCAATAAGCCACTGGAAGTAGAATGCGTGCCGCATCCCACAAAGGGATTGATCAACGGCGAAGACTCCTTAATCCTTTTATCTCTACCTATATCATGAGGTGTATGTCACGGCGATGTACATGCGGTAACGTCAACGTATTTGGAATTTACGCAGAGCGTTACTGGGGTGTTAGATTGGTCTTCAAGGAGGAGGTGGTACTCCGTCCCCGGAACCTTACCAATGTGGTTAAGATAGAAAAAGCCTCTCCTTAATTTCGCACAACATTCCTGCTGAAGCTCTTACTTATATCAGGGGTGTATACCATCGCGACCATTGCTGTCGGGGCATTGTCGAGCTACACGAGCTTGACACCTGCAGATAGGATATTGAACAGGCGGCGTGTTTGTTGGAGCTTCAGATTACCGCTTGAGAGAGATGGTAAAAAAGTGACTGTACCTGGTAATTCCTACTTCAAT